TCAGAACCAACAACGGACTTCCTCAGACTCCCAATCCAGATGGCCCGGTATGGTATACTTATGTATCCTTTTCCTCTGGTGATTCTGGCGGCCTGGTTGGTCATGTACTTCTCTACACATCTTTGTCATCTGGTTTATCCAACAGTTTCTATGAAGGTATTTCATGGGCTTCCGTCTGTTCAATGGCACCATCGAAAGTTTGTGCTACCTCTTTACTCAGGATTTCTAAGTGAGTTTCTGTCTCTTCGGTTTCTTAGCCTTCTACACCTGGTGGTCTTATCGTGGATTTGCTTGAAGCCTTATACGACACTGGTTTTACATTCCTCTATGTATATGTAACATGTAACATTACACTTAGCATAGATGGCCTTAGCTCCCAATGTCAAGTGAGGCCCGACTTGGTGTACCTAAGATTACAGATACCCAAAACCCAACCGATCGGCAAGAGACAGTTACTATAACACAGGTATAATTTCCAAAATTTGTCATTCATGGGAATTGAACCTTAGACCTGCCACTTGAGGGTTGACAACTTATCCATTTCACTAGGTCGCCACACCCTATTAATTTTATTTATCTATTTTATAGTTCTTAATAGAACTATGCTTTTGCAAAGTTTATCTAAATCTTAGTACTACTTCACAATATATTTTTAGTATATTAGTATATTTTTCTTTTGTTTTTAAACTTCTAATTTAGATAACCTGTATAGAACTATAACTAGTCTATTAATATATTAGATTAGCTCGATATTTTTTTTAGATTTTTTAGTAAGCATTTTTGGCAATCTGATTAGTAATACCCTTTATTTAAAGGTTTATATCTATTTAATTTCTTTATATTAATATCTGTTTTTTTGATTTAGTCTTTACAATAATATTATTAAAGGTTTATATTATTTTTCTGCTTAGATTTTTTTAAATAGACTTTTTGTTTTTTAATTGCAACAGATTTATACAGCTACAAGAACTTATTTTAAATTTGTATTATTTGATGCTAGTTTGCATTTCTCTGTATAACTAGTTATACAAAAACTTTATAACCTGCTAGTTATGCTAATATAATTATTATATATTATAGGTATCTTAACTCAATTATTAGAAACAGTTATAATAATATAAATAAAAATTAAAATTTTCATTATTAGTAGATTTTGAATTTTTAATTTATTATTTAAAAAGATAACTTGTTTACTTTACTAAGTTGTTATATTGTTAAATTAATTAAAATAAAAAATTATAATAGAAATAAATAAAATAACAAAGCTAATAGTTTTATAAAAAATAAAATAACAAATAAAAGATAATATATATATATATTAAAAAAGTTAGTTATAAAGAAATAGAATATTATATAAAGTAAAAAACAGATAAACTAATATATTAGCAAAATTTTTATACAACTAATAACAAATATAAGATTAGAAGTTAAGTAAAAAAAATAAAAGTAATTAGAAACTTAGAACTAAAAACAGAAGTTATAATTTAAAATTAGATATATTTTTTAAAAAAGCTGAAAGTAACTAAAGAAGTATATTATATAATAAAAAGAAATAATATAAAAAAAAAAATATTTATAAAATATATAATAAATAAACTTCTGATCTTAAAAGAATTTAATAAAAAAAGATTAAATATATATATACAATAGCAAAATATTAAATATATTAAAACAAAATAAAAAAACACAAATATATTTAACATTATACAAACTAAATTTTTCAAAAAAAATTTAAAAAGTAACTATATATATAGCAATATTATAAAAAAAAAAAAAAATCTGAATCCTTTCATATGTGCTATATATAGCATTCTTTAAAAAAATAAAACTAAAAAAAAATAAAAATAAAAAACATTAATTAAAGACCTAATTTTAAAGAAAATATAAAAATAATTAATATAATTTTTAAATATAAAATCAAAATATTAGTTTGCAAATACAATAATAAAATAACTTGAGATATTTTCTACAAATTAGTTTAAAAAATACAATATAAAAAAATAAATAAGTGAAAAAATAATAAGTAAAATCAAAAAAAAATGCAAAAAAAAAGAATTTATAAAAAAAAGTAAAGATAAATTAGCAATAAATAAAAGAGAAAAAGAAATAGACAAAAAAAAAGAAAACAAATTAAAAAAAAAACTAAAAAGATATGTTAAAACTTGTTATAAAAAAAACACTTTTATTACAGACTTTAAATAGCAAACAAGCTGTCTACTTTTGTTTAAAGTAGTGCAACAGGTTGTATTTAAATATTATATATTAAGATAATCAATAATGCTAAACTTAGTTGTTAGATATTTTTATATAATTGCAAGAATCTTAATAAAGTATTAGCATAACTGTTTAAGAAAAAAATGACACAGTTATACAATTTAAAAAAATCTTTATAATACAATTAGAAAATTTTTAAATTTATATAATACAAATTATTTTTTTTTTTAATAAAAAACTTTTAATTAAAAAATTCTTTTTTGATTTTATAATACTATTTGGCATATAACTGCCTTTTAAATTCTTATAGAATCCTAGACTACATATTTATAAAATAGCTTTTGCAAGAATATTTTAAAGGTTTTTTTAAACTAATTATTTTTAAATAATAAAAATTTTTTTTTTAAATAGGAATCGGTTTTAGAATAATCTCTTAATATATTGCAGATCGTTTCTAAATCCGTAAAATACTGACCGTAATAGGAGTTTGAGTAGCGTTACTCCAAAATGCACAGCGATAATGACATTTACGCCCAAGATCAAACAAATAATCTATATATATTCATGCACGTGTTGACAAGATAGTAGCAGGTTTATTCATTCTCTTAATTATCTTAAAACAAACAACTAAATCAAGAAATACTCGGGGAAGTTATATTATATAATTATTTTCCGGTTCCTTAAAGTTCAGGGAAATTACCAACTGCGAAAACAGGAAAAGTGGGTTCATTTTGACAAATTTTAAAGTTGTTAATTTAATCTTATTGACCAATAGATTATTTAAAAATTTCCCAAATAAACCATTTAAAATTGCATTTCATATTTTGTTTGATTTATTTAACTAGGCGCCAATCGATACTTAAAAGCCGCCAATAAAAAATAAAAATACAAATTCTAACCCTTTATATATCAATCTGAGGAATTTTTTTTTTTTTTTGTAATCGCCACTGTTAACATTCTTTTTAATGATTTGCTTCTTTTTTACTGTCAAAAAAAAATAAATACATTTAACTATTTATAATAGAAGCCTCCTTTTCCGCAGTAAGGTTTTCTTTTAGTGAAAATGTTATTTTTGAATTTTTTTATATCGATTTTTTCTCTGGTGACCACTGCTTACGGATGTGGCATGTCCGTACATAACGAAGTCACGGCCAGAGCAGTGTACTCTTTTAATCCTACCATACAGGAGTATTCCAAATATGCCAATTATTTACGTAAAAATCCACAATTTGTTCAGGTATGTGATTCCGCATATCCTTCAGAAACAAAATGATCGAAAAGAAATGGATCTGGTTATAATTTGAAAAACAACGAACCTCGAATTTTATTTATATATTTGTGAAGGCGGGATCATTTTTTCCGGATTGGTTCGTTTTGAATTTTTAATTATTAATTGCTACTTTTTTTTTCTTTTAAATTCTTTCATATAAATAACATTATGATTTGATCTTTATTGTAGGGGATACAATTGTTGGAAAAACGATGAACTTTCGGAAATTGGTATGATTTATTTATTTATTGTGGTTTTTATAAATAAATATCGAATCTAATTACTCGTAAAAATTTTTTTTGAACAAAAAATTATTAGCTCATTGGCCTCCTTTCATCAAAGCAACTACAGAATATATTCGCGAAAAGTATAAAAGCGAATCGTGGGAACAGGATGAAGTGGCCCAGGTCTGCAGCAATAAACTATTTTGAACTACATTAAATTATCCATATTAAACGTTTTTTTTTGACTTGAAGGGAGTAATTTCTTTTCTATATGCGATAGCCTCTCATGGGATAGCAGATGTTTCATTTCATAGCTTAGGAGGACTTCATGATGGATTCATAGCTACAATGGCTGAAGTTAATTTTAAGCAAAATTACGAGGCGGCACATTCTGCGGCTGACATGGGTGGTGAATTCACTCTTTCACACATGGTTGATTTGGATTATTTAGAGGTGATTATATTATTATAGTATCTAATATCCATAATGGTCGCGTTCAAGTTATAATTTTTTTTAGAATGAATGGCGAGTGCCTGTTGATGATATAATAGAAATATATAAAAGAATTAACAAAACGGCTTCGAGAAAACATATAGATTATTGTGTTAAACAAGCATTTGCTGCCATGCAAGCTAATAAAGTAAGTCCAAAAATGCTTATGCTTATCATGTGTCGATATTAATTATTCGAACTATCAAATAAATTTTCATTATTTTATAGAAATTTGGAAAAATGTTCTTCTCTGCATATGGTGAAAAGGTATGTCTGGTTATCATGACTTGTATTATTATTTTTAATCTCTGACTTTTGGGTTTATTCAGTCACCTTTTCTGATTGAAAAATTGGAAGAATATTATCGTGGAGGTAAACCAAATAAATAAATAAATAATAAAATAAATAAATAAATAATAGATTCTTTCAACCCTTTTTAATTTTTCTCTCTAATTAATGAGATTCATGATATCTAGGTTTAAATAACATGGCTGCTGATGTACACAATTGTTGGCATAATTTATCACATTGGCTTGAAAATGGTCCAAGAAATGATTCCTCATCATTATGTGATCCCTTTAAGGAACCTCATGAGAACTCATCCTCTGATAATATTGGGATGCGAAATACATCTGATTTCGATGAATTCTTTCGTACATATTCATATGAATTATTGACTGCAAGTGGATATGCTTTGAATCATTATAAAGATAAACATGGCATAACTCATTATGAAATACATCGGAAACCAAAAGATTTTTGGGGATTTTCCGGGGAGGAATCAAAAGATAATTTTCGATTTAATCAAATATTTCATGACGTTATTTCTTCAAACACACATATTCAAATTTCATCGTCACGATGGGTGAACCAACATCAATTAACATCCAGTCATTCGGTAATAAGGAATGAGACCCATGATTCTAGTTGGATTTCAAAATGTCAGCTTATGCCCACAGACCCAAATTTATTTATAAATTTGGAATTACCATATTCTTATTCTTTGTTTGGTCATGATATGGTGACTGGCGATTTTAATGGCGATGGAATTCAAGATTTAGGTGATGTTAGTTTTTAATTTGGCAATATAGACTTACCGACTATATAAATAGTATTTTATAAAAATATGTGTTTGAAAAATTATTCTAAAATCTACTCGTTTTTTTATAGCAATCAGTGCACCCTTGTATGATGAAAACACAAACATCCCTCATACAGGCGCAGTATTTATTTTATATGGCAAATCAACATTACGACAACCATCCATATCAACCAACATCCTCGAACTCTCTGATCAAATCTTGTATGCAACTGACCCTCTTCCTCAGTCCCGATTCGGTTGGTCCTTGGCTGTGGTAGATTTAAATTCAGATGGAATAGATGATTTAGCGATCAGTGCTCCATCATTTAGTCCTAACCGATCTACACCTGGAACCGGGAAAGTTTATGTGTATTTTGGACATGCAGAACCTAATGGAATATCAAAATTATTAAGAACATATGAAATTGGGTTGTCTCATCGTCCGGATTTAGAGATTTCAACAGATGCTAAAATAGCAAAAAATAATTGGAGGATTGAAGAAATGGGTCAAGTCTTGGCTTCAGGAGATGTTGATAATGATGGATTTAAGGATTTATTAATTGGGTGTCCGTATTGTGGACTTCACAGTCAACCTAAGGTAGGTTTTAAAATTTTTTTTTGCTTAAAACCAATTTATTCAGTTCTATAATTATTTTTATTTCTCATAGTCAACAACGCGTATATCACAAACTGGAAGAATATTTTCATTTCTAAGTTCAAGAGGACATATTGGAAATAAGGTTATATTCGATAGTGATTGGTCATTGCAGAGTCCAAGTGGTCAGAATTATGAATGGTTTGGAGCGGCTATCGGAGTTCAACATAGTAAACAAACAAATAATCCAATAATAATTGTTGGTGCACCAGGATACAATAATGAACTAAAAACACGATGGGCTGGTCGTATTTATGGATTTGAAATAAGAGATAATGATAAAATGAGTCCTTTGAAAATATTTGATTTGAGTGGAACCGATGAGTTTCAAGGGATCGGAAGGTAAAATTAATTATTATTTTATTATTTTATTATTTTATTATTTTATTATTTTATTATTTTTTATTTTATTATTTTATTATTTTATTATTTTATTATTTTACTATTTTATTATTTTATTATTTTATTATTTTATTATTTTACTATTTTATTATTTTATTATTATTATTTTACTATTTTATTATGAATTTAAGTTCTTATTGGTATATAATTTGTTTCTAGTTCAATAATTGCTACTGATTTCCTTGAAAATGTTGGTAATTTTTTGATTGTCACTTCTCAATCCGAAGTAAGCTTATTTCTATTCTCAAAACATCAAGCTTTAATGTTTTCACTTTAAAAAACACTAAGCACATTATGCTTTTAGACAAACATTCAGAGGTTTCCAATATATAATAAGTTATGGCAAGCCGGTGCAGTTCGTGTGATAAACATGGGATATCTAAAAGAAGGGACTTCATTATCTGATGACTATATGAGTGTTGGAAATGGATTGTTATCGCTTTTGCGAGGAACTGAGTCAGCATCTCATTTTGGAAGTGCAATATATTGGGATGACATTAAAAATTCGCTTTGGATTTCAGAACCGCTTGCTTCTTGGGGTATATGTTGTTTTTTTGTTTGAAGAAAATGATGTGTATATTTTAAAAGAATAGAGTTATATTAAATGTGTAACTTATATTTCCCCTATAGAGGCCGGCCACGTATATAGCTATCCATTAAAATCTATACTATCCTTTCACAACTACACTGAAAATTTACTTCAAGATACTCTAAATTATCAAACAGTTAAAAAGGATGATCTAAATATTGAAACTTTTAGATTAGCCGAAGCGTGTATGAAAAGCAGAGAACCAAAAGCAAGGTTTGGAAATAAAATTATAAAATTTGATTTTAATGGTGACGGAAAAGGAGACTTGGTTATTGCTTCGGAACATAGCAGTCAAAACGTTAGGTATGTATCTAAATTTTTTATACATTATTTGGTTCTCTTTAGAATTTTATAACATGAATTTGACAATATCATTTTTAGATTAGGAGGAAGTGTTACTATTTTACTGGAATAAAATTATGCAAGAGGATATATTAAGCTTAATAATTTATTATTATATAATTTACTGTAGTCATTTATTCTTTTCTTTTGAAAATTCAATACTCATCTATAGTGTTTTTTCACTAGCAAAATAGCATTGAGACTTAATATTTAAAAAATTTTAAATCACAGCTTAAAATTTTTAAATTTGGATATTTTAAATTTGTTAAATGCAATTTAGTTTAATCACATTCTATATAATTTAAAAAAAAAATTATATATACTGTATTTATTATTTATAGATGCTTTCATCTACTTTTTTGAATTATATATTTAATAAAGACGACCCTAACTCTCACCTGAGATTTAAACCGTTTATCAAAATAGAAACTACGTCGAATTTTCTTTAGAATTTTAAAATGAATCAAATATAATTTAAGGGGCACCATTAATAAAGTTGATTATTAAACATTGATATAGAGCAGATGTCCCTTATACAATATAAGGATACCATTAATAAATTGATTATTAATCAATTGATATAGAGTAGGGATCCTTATACAATATTTAATCTCTTTAAGATATGTCGACAACTAACAAACCAGGGATGGACCACTGCGCAGTATTCTGCAAACAGATACTCGAATGTTTTTTACCAATATATAATTTAGAACTATATATACGTATAATCTTGCATGCGGCGCAAGCTGTGCAGTGGATTCGATTTGCTTATTCCTATATTCAACCAATTCGATGAAAGCGTTTTTTATTTGAATCCTATTTATGTATTAGTATATGTAATAAATTTTTTTTACCGAATTTAGCTGAGCAGCTGTTGAGTTAAAGTTTCAAAAAACTTAAAACATCGAATAGAAGCTGCGCCGAATTTTCTTTAGAACTTTAAGATATCTCGACTACTAACTAAATTCGAAGAGAAATTCTTTATTTGAATATATTGATTAGTAGAATTCGAATAAAAAATTTTCATCGAATTTAATAATGTACGTAGTCGAGATTTTTACTGACGAAGACCTTTTGTCTGAGGACCAATAAGCCAATAATACGAAGTTCTTAGGATTGTATACAGAATCTTCGGATCTTTCCGAATTAGCCGGATTAAGGTTCGTTATTGGTTCGAAAAAATATTTCTAAATTTATAAAGTTAAATACGTATCATTTATGTAAATTGGAACTATGTACGTATTACTTTTGTTTTTAAACCTTTGCGGTTTTTATATAAAATTTCCTGTACTATATGCGGTCAAAATTGCCGTGGAGCGATCAACCAATCATATTGCAAAATCAAATGTAACGATCAGATAACCCGCAATGAAACTACCTACAATTCTTACTATACGTTTTATTTCTTTTATGTTATACATATTTTGGCGATACGAAGTAATTTTCGACAGAAAAAAAAATGCTTTATAAAAATTGAAAAAATTGACTTCATTAGTTAAACGCGTCGTTGACAATACATTTGGTAGTATAGACACGTGACATTAATGCAGATGGTGCGAAAGACCGGAAGAAATAAACCTTTAGACCTGTGCGTAGATGGTTCACTTTAATTATGTATTTTTAGTAATGTATTTTATCACGTAAACTTACGTATAAACTTCTATACCTGATACATTTTTAAGAAAGTCATAATTATTATATAGCACTAGATGACGTAACATTTTTTTTCTAATAAAGCATTTGTTTGGTAGATGAATTTTTTTTTTTAAAAAAAAAATTTTTTTCTTTCCTGCCTTTTAAATCGGACCTTTTAATATACTCAGGCCTTCTACCTGATATAAAAGCAGTAAATTTTTTTTTTAAGGGTAGTGGAAGTTATACCGTGCGGTTTGACCGCTTTATTAATAGTAACGCAGTATAAATTAACTGCAAACTTCGGTCCTCAATAAATTACCACAATTCTACTCCGGCACTTTTCTTCGGAAAGGTGCATTATCATCACGGCGCTACAAAAGCAAGTTGTCAAGTTAATTGTTTTCCGGGGTCATCAGGTAAAAGTTCTAATAATGGCTTTGTAGCTATCTATACACTGAGTTTTATATTCGAATAGTATTTACTTTTCTATTTTTTTTTGTTAATTTTTGATCTTTTTGTTTGATTATTATTACTTTTTCCTATAGTTTAATAGCTAGAATCGTTAATAAGAGTATTCGAATTTTAGTATAATTTAGATTTTTGAATTGAGACCATTAAATTTAACATCACCCGATTTTAACGTCTCCAACAAATTCTATATTATTTTATTAACCAATGTAATATTTTACTTTTTTAGAGATCACCACCTTGGTCTTGCTCGTATTCCCTCGGTATTCCTTAGTTAGATAATAGAATTTTCCAGAATCCAAACGCTCGATGAATGATATTGGCACCACTACTTTTCTCGATATTAAACAATATGGTTCTAAGTCTCCATCTAGTCTGTTTTCTTCAGAACATAAACCGGGTTACCAAATCGATCTCCCGGCCATTAACATGCTTCCGGTCAAAGATGTTTTAAGAAATCGCATTTTATCTCTCGATATTGATAGATGTGAATCAGATGCTGAAAATGCTTTTTTCGTCGCGAACCTTGACGAAGTATATAATCAACATTTTCGTTGGAAATCGCTTTTGCCACGAATTGAGCCATTTTATGGTACTGTCAGACTATTTATTTAAATTTGTATATATATATATATATGTGTTTTATTAACTATAATCGTATTCCCTAGCCGTAAAATGCAACCCCGACCCACTGCTACTCAGACTCCTTGCCGCATTAGGAACGGGTTTTGATTGCGCCAGTAAAGTTGAAATCCAGACGGTTCTTGATATTGGTGTTGATCCATCAAAGATTATTTATGCGAATCCTTGCAAGCAAGCGTCATTTGTGCGTTATGCGGCAGAACATAATGTCAGAATGATGACATTTGATAATTCCGATGAACTTTATAAAATTAAACGTTATTTCCCAGATGCTCAATTGGTACTTCGTATTCTCACCGACGATTCCATGTCGCTTTGCAAATTGGGCCTAAAATTTGGCGCTTCCTTAGATTCTACTGGGTCATTGCTGCAAACGGCTCGAAAGTTAGACCTGAATGTAATTGGTGTAAGGTATTATAAAGTTACAAATTTATGTTTAATTTGCGTTTATATTTACTCTTAGATCTTATAGATTTAAATTCTTTTATCAGTTTCCATGTCGGTAGTGGATGTTACGACGAAAATGCCTTTATCGATGCTGTTCATCGCGCCAAGTTTGTGTTCGATCTAGCTTCAGAGCTAGGATTTAATTTGTATTTACTCGACGTCGGAGGTGGTTTTTCACATTCCCGCGATTGTGATGGCATTACCTTTGAAAAAATAGCTGCTATTCTTGGACCAGAAATCGATAGCTTATTCCCACCCAACGTTCGTGTCATTGCCGAACCAGGGCGTTATTATGCAGCACCTGCCTTCACTATTGCGACTCATATTATTGCACGAAGAACTGTACTTAGTAATGGTGACGTGCAAACCTTGGATATGGATACCGTTTTAAATGATGAATCACCAACTCAGGAAGATCATTCAGGATATATGTGTAAGTGTTATTTAAAACAGGTATAAGTCACCGAACACGCAAATATAACAGAATCTCAAGATTCATAAAGTTAACATATATGCGTTTAATTTAATTCTACCGATCTATTCGATTCTTCAAGATATTACGTGAATTTCTGTCATTCAATATAAATTTAAAATTTTAAGCATACATCCTCTAATAAAATCATTGGCTTAAAGGTCTTTTCCATAATAAACCGGTAAATCTCGAGGATTGTCTGCTCTAGTAAAAACCAAATTCTTAATGATTTTTAATTTATATCGCCACAAACTTTAATATAGTTTAATAAAATGTTTCTTTTAAGTATTAGTATTCTTAAAAGAATTTTTTATTAAACTGTAACTGGAGTAATTAATAATTAGCTTTTACTAGAGCAAAAAATTTTTATATTTATCGTTTTACTGTAGAAAAGACCTTCAAGCTGGTGATTTCCGTTGGGGAAATGTAGGTATGTAATTGTCTATGAAGAACGTAATTTTAGGTAATTAGGGTAAGAATTCCGGCTAATTATATATACTTAACCTTTGAATCTTGAGATTCCTATATTTCATGTCCGATGATCTGCATCTATGAGTTATATGTGATTTGGTGAGCTAAATGTACAACAATCAATCTTATAGATTATATCAATGATGGAGTATACGGAGCTTTCAATTGCATTTTGTATGACCACCAGGTAGTTCATCCCAAAATTTTATTTAAAGGAGGAATTTTCACATTTGGTGAAAATTTGGGTGAACCCGTGTATGACTGTAGCATCTGGGGACCTACATGTGATTCAATTGATTGTATTACCACGACAAGTAATCTTCCCGTTTTATTACCCGGCGATTGGTTGTATTTCGAGGAAATGGGGGCATATACTATATGCGCTGCATCCCAATTTAATGGGTTTAAAAAAAGTAATGTAATATACACGGCCACAAATTCAGAGGTATTCGCTACTCTATATGACGCATATTTCTGACGACTGTGGATAAAAAGTATTAGTATCGTAATATTGATATTGAAATATGATTTCAATAAAGTTATCTTTGTGTGTTGATACATTGGATGACAATTGTTCAGGATGATGTGGAAGACTTAATGGAGGATTTATGGATTTTGTGTGTTGGGTTTCGCTTACATTATCAGCTCGTTGGCCAGCCTAACTGAAGAAATTAAACAAATCAGTCCATACGGACATTTTCGGATCCGATATAAGATTCGGAATTTTTAGCTCTGGGCATTTTATAGTGATTGTTTCCTGGTGTAGTAATGTTTATTTAAAAATTTTCGAAAAAAGTAAATTGTAATACAAATACTTCCTGAATAGAAATAACTTAATCATAATTACGATAATCATACATTATCATTAGATAATCAGATTTCAGCCTCAAATAAAACAATTCGAGATAATTGCGTAATTACAATAATTTATGTTTAGTGAATTCATCAGGGCAATCTCTTATTTAGTTCATGTGATATCACGACAAAACTGAACCAACCTCCGGATCGCCGTAAAAGAGAGCATAGTTAAAAATCCACCTGATTGGCTGTCGATCCTTGATATCTTATTGGCTACCTATAGTAAACGTTCTATATGAAATTTCAATCAATCATATTATGATTGATTGAAATTTCATATAGAACGTTTACTATAGGCAGCCAATAAGACACAGCATGCATGTGACTTGTCTCCGTTATCGGCACAGCAAAAAGTAATTTAATTCTTTGAATGAAGATATTTAGATGTCGTGCCTGAAGTTAGCATCTGCTTGAAGTTGTAAATTCAAGTGCCTGAAGTTGAAATTGCCTAAAATTGGGGACGTCTAAAGCGGAGTAGGTTCTTTATAATATATTTTATTGAATTAATCTTAGACTTAGGGTCATTTTATATTTGGGTTAGGTTAGGTTTTAGATAGTTATATATAAGCAAAATTGCCTTCCTGACATTTTTAATTAACCTACCCGAGGTAGGTTAGACTGCCGTTTTCGTATTTTTTAGGTTTTTTGGTTTTATTTCTTGTTTTACTTCGTCAGCGATCATGATTTGATTTGCATTGAGTCACGTGATTATGATCCGCTTTAGACTAACTAATGCGTGCAAGAAAGATCTAATTTCAAGAGTTAATTTTAGTTAGTGTTTCTAAATTGGTAACTTCAAGCAAATATTAAAGCAAAACATAACCATCAAATAAATTTTTTTTTTATTTTGATTAAAATTTTGATTTAAGTAAAGGTACTTTGATAATTTAAATAAATTTAATAAATTTTTTTTTTTTAATTATACAGACTTGTATAATTAAAATAAAAAATAATATTGACCTTGTTTAGATGGTTCTTAAAATATTTTTTTTAAAGTTTGATTTATTAAATATATAAACAAATTAAAATTTTTTTATAATTTTTGTTTTTTGTTTAAAGGTTATGTTTTATAGTAATTATTTTATTATATATATAATTTTGGATTGTTTATTTATTTATTTATTTTGTTAAGGTGAGATTATGCTTTTTAGTCTTTATTAGTATATTTGTTATAGCTTGTACAATTCTATATTATACATCATTTATCATTATATATCTATTCAAATATAGAACTCAAACATATTTATTTGTAATCTAAACTTATCAGAGTTTTGTATTGGGTTCTACTCACATCTAACCTGGATTTTTGTTTCATTACCAATTATATTAGGTAATCTGCATATTCTTTTCATGTCTTACAACCTATTTTTAATAATTTTTAAATTGGTTTATTAGATTATTTATTTTTTTTAAGCTTTCATCTTTGGTTTGTCTAAAAAATATCTCTTTAGCACATATTGTTACAAAGTAGATTTTAGCATAGTATATTATAAATAGTATTATTAGTTATATATATTCTTTATTGTATTTTATATCTTATATTTATTATTATTAATTATTAGTTATTAGTTAGTCGATAGTTATATTATATAGTAGATAGATAAAAGGATCTTAATTGGCTATTAAAAATGTGATACAGTTACATGATACTGAGTAACATCTGTGATATTACTATTGTCTTACAAATTCCAAGTATCCTTATACAAGTTTCATATATCCTAGTACCAAATTACTGTGTCAGGTGTCGCAGTACAAGAACCTCAAGTATCCCTAACACGAACCCCAAGTGTTCTTGCACAAACTTCAAGTATCTCTGTACAAATCTCAAGTGACTTTGCATGGATCCAAGTATCTAAACACAAGTTCCAAGTGTTTTAAGCATGAATGACAAATGATATAAACAATATCCCTAATTGCCTCTGCACAGTCCTCATTACCCCAAGCACAATATCATTTAATGTTGTTCAAATCTTCATTATCCCAACTACAATGATATCCAATATTGCTCGAACCTCCACTATCTCAACTATAATGATATTTAATGTTGTTCGAACCTTTATTACCTCAAGTACAGTATCAAGTAATGTTGCTCGAATTTCCACTATCTCTACTAGGTAAAAAGATATATAAAAAATAGCTTTTACCCTTTTCTGCTAATTCTAAGTTCCTATACTTTAACCTAAACCCTTCTACCTTTACCCCTAACTTGTAATTGTGATATTCCCTTTCTAGGGTAATTCCTATAGGCAAGATTGTCACTATGTGTTTATTTAATAAAAAGCTAATCGATATACTGTTACTATCTTGAACCATTTGCTTGCTACTGTGTAGTAAAGTGAACTACTACACCTCCACCCTATATATATTTGTAATAGTCAATCACTATACTAGGTGACCTTGTTACTTGGTTGTATTGTACCAAGAAGGCTACAATCCTGTAACAATATCTTAAGTCAAAATCTTGTTACTACTGTTAATTTTCCAATTTAGGTACTTGTAATACATATCTTAAGTTAAATTTCTGTTATTACTATTGGTTTACAATTTTTCTTGATCTTAGCATTATTTTTTCAATAGATTATACATTCAATTTGTTTTTTAAGTATTTTTTTTTATAATATAATTAGAATTGTATTTCAGAAATAAGTAAATATCTTTTTTCAGTCATTGATTAATGTTTTTTTCTACTGTTATCTAGTATTACAGGTTTTTTTTTGTTTTATTTTCAATTATAAATAATCTTTCTATCTTTTTAAAAATATTTTAATCTAAATTTATATTTAAATTAAGATGTTTACATCATGTTTAATTAGATTTTTACTATTAATTTAAGTATCTTAACCTTGATTGGTATAGTATTTATATTAGTATGTCTATTTATTTTGTTATAATTTCTCATATAAGTATGATCAAAATTTTGGTTTGAAATTTTTAGATATATAGAAAAAGTTACAACTTCTTTATATATGTAGTTACTTTTTATTTTCAGTTATTTTACAGTATTAGAAATGTTTTAATTTTGTTAAAACAAATTCTTTATTACAAACCTTCTATACATACAGTGTTTCTCTTATTATTCTAGTTCATGTTATTTTGATATTATTCTTTTAATCAAGTATTTTACAAGTTGAATGCAGGGATATTGGTACTGTCTTATCTCTAAAGAACTTATATGCATAATCTTTTATAATATTACTATCATACAATGCTTATACTTTGCAAAGTTGATTTTCTTTTAAAAATTCCTATTTCTATTATATATTGTATTTGAACTTGATTATAAAGCTTTGTATTTAATTACAGGTTCTTATTAAATTATAGAAATTAAAATCTTCTAATTTTTTTTTTCAACTGAACTTGAATTATTAATTTTAACTGTCAAAATATAAGAGCTTAACTACTAAATTATAAGACCTATACTCTACTTTTAGTTATTTATTTAAGTAATCTGTTCTAAGCTTATATATTAGATATCATAATTATAATTTATTAAAAAATTATTTATTTAAACCTTTCTTATTAATAATTTAATTATTATTAAACTTTTTATATAAGAATATAACAAATTAGTAAAGTAGATAAGTTATTAACCTTCAAATAGTAGGTTATAAATTCAAAACTTACTGATAATAAAAATTTGAATAATCACTTATATAATATATAGATGATATTATAATAATAGAATTTTATTAATTAGTTGATATAAGATATCTGTAACTATAATTGCACTAATATTACTATCAGATTATAGGACATCTGTGTAATTTTAGTTATACAAAAAGATATAATTTATTACATATTTTTTTTATTTATATTTTTATAATTAGTTTGGTCTGCAACTTGCTTTCTGCAAACTTGATATTGTAAAAAAGCCTTGAACTTTTATTTATTACATATAAGTATAGTATTTATCAACTAAGTTGTAATATATAATTAGCTCAAATATTATTTTTATAATACTTTTACTAATATTTGTCTAAGATGTTTTAATTCTGATTAGACTAATTCTTTATTACAAATTTTTTTTGTATATATTACATTGCTTATCACTTTAGTTTTAATTATTATTTTATATTATTCTTCTAATCAAATATTTTTGTAAGTTAGATATAGAGATATTGATACTGTTTTGTCTTTTAAGATCTTACTTGTACAATACTGTTGTATAGTCAAATCTTTTATAATATTGCTATTATATATAATATCTTTTTTTTATAAAATTAATCTCTTATAAATTTTTAATTTGTTTTTGTACTTTATTTTAAAACTTTTAATAAGGTTTTGTATTTGATTTGGTTTTTATTTTTGAGTTACAAAAGTAAAATTCTAGAATTTTGTTTTTAGTCTAACTTGAATTATTAATCTAGTTTGTAAATGATTAACAATTTAACTATTAAGCTATAGGATCTAACTTTAAATAAAATCTTAAATTATTAACTAATTAAATATTATAAAGCATTTTAACAAAACTACTATTTGGTTTTTTTTAAAAAAAGTAACCTTTTTGATTTTTTAACTTTTATTAATGCTTTTTTAATAATATAGTTTTATAAGGAACTACTACAGAAAGAATATACAATTGATTATATATATAACTTTTTTATATTACCTATTTAAGAAATTTATTCAAAAATTCTTTATTAATTACTGTATTTAACATTTCTGCTTAAATGTTCTATTTTAAATCTTTTAAACTTACAACTTGTGTTAACTTTACTGAGTTATATTTAGATTATTATTTTAACTTTAGAACTATTTTATTTACAAAATAAATCTCTTAAAATCTTTTGTACTTATTTTTATAGCTA